CATTGGGCTCCCACGGTTCCCCTTCCACAGCTGGAGGTCCTGGTCCTCGTCGTCGTAGTACGACGGGCCGTAGTCCCACAGGGTCTGCGGGGTGGGCCAGCCCGCGGCCGTGGCCAGCAGCGCGGCGGCCCGGAGCAGCATGCGGCTGGGGGTCCCCGGCGCCACACGCCGTCGACCTCCCCTCCACGCGCGCCCGGCCACGGCCGGCAGCGGCAGCCCAGCCGCTCCCCAGCCGAGGGGCGCCCTGCGCGGCGGCATGGCGCGGCCGCGCTCGAGCGCTCCCGGGTCACCCCGGGATCTTCCGGGCTCCCGGAGTGGGCCCCCGGGATGCCCTGGCCTCTGGGCCACCTGAGGCCGGCCCCCAGCTTGGCCCAGAAAAGCTAGAGCCCCAGAGGGGGAAGCAGGGGAGAGCAAGCAGAGGCAGGGGCAAGAACAGGAGAGGACGGGCCCCCGCATTCCTGGGTCCAGGGAGAGCCTAGCGTTTGAACCAAACAACTAATCCTACTCGCAAGCGTCTGACCAATGTTTGCATCGATAATATATATATATATATATATATATATATATGTTTATATGTATGTATTTATATAATGTATATACATTTACATACGTTTGCTTGTATATATACACGGACACCCCATCTACTTTTTTGCGCCTCCCTATTTCCTGTTTCTACCCACCACCTTTCGACCGACGGAGACAGTGGAGGCGTTTTTTTTGTTTCGGAATAGTCTCAGGAGGCGCCAGACCTTGGAGGATTCCTTGTCCAATGAGGGCGGCGGCGATATTCATGGCCGATCCACGATTTGAATTCCGCTGGCTTCCAGACCCTGGACTCCTTATCCAATGCTTCCTTATCACATGCCTCCACCGTATGGGTATCGGTCGGAAGGAAGTGGAGGTGGAGGAGGAGGAGGAGGGGGAGGAGGAGGAGGACCAGTGTAAGCCCAAGAGTCATCAACGATGTCAGAATGAACCCTCCCTCCAAGCTCTCTCTTCATAGGCCCTACAACGGCTCATCTCCATTGAAAGAACTGCTTCTTTCGAAGGCCCTGAAGCATGCCAAAACATTGTTCTCCGGATTCCAACGCCACGGATCAACCTGACTGTTGCGTCCCCACAATCTTGAATCGTGCGGGAACGCCATTCCTGGAACTTACACATAGCGAATCAACATAACTGTTGCGCCCGCGTAACCCTGAATCTGTTCAAAACACAAGTTCTGGTTTGTTAACGATGGGAAGCGATGACACTTTTGCAAATGCTGAAAACGAATATGCGCCGTGCTAAGGCGACAACCACATTTTGAAGCCCCCCCGCCCTCAATCCGTGAAGCTCTTGCATTTTTAAATCTACTGTGCACCGCGCTAAGGCGTGAACCACATTTTGAAAACCACCCGCCCTCAATCCGTGAAACTCTTGCCTGTTGTTCCCAACCATCCTGTGGTGTTGGGTCCTCGTTTTGAAGAGACAGCGCCACGCGTCTCCTCTCCTCTCCTCTCCTCCTCCCCCTCCTCCCTCTTCCCATCCGCCTCGTCATCGTCATCGTCATCGTAATCATCGTCATCATCATCGCCATCGTCATCGTCATGATCCACATCATCATGGTCACCACCATCGCCATCGTCAGCGCCGCGTCCCTCACACGGTCCGTGGCGCCACAGGGAGCTCCACCGAAGGCCGAAGTGGAAGCGGTTACATGCGTCACCGCCGTCCCATTTCGGTACACCCTTCAAGCGGTTCGTGGTTTCATAGGGAGCTCCACCGAAGGCCCAAGTGGGGGCGTCCGCATGGCACCGCTGCCCCATTTCGGCGCACCCTCAAACGGTTCGTGGCCCCATAGGGAGCTCCGCCGAAGGCCCCAGCGGGAGCGTCCGCATGGCACCGCCGCCTCATTTCGGCACACCCCTCACACGGTTCGTGGCCCCATAAGGAGCTCCACCGAAGGCCCCAGCGGGGGCGTCCGCATGGCACCGCTGCCCCATTTCGGCACACCCCTCACACGGTTCGTGGCCCCATAGGGAGCTCCACCGAAGGCCCCAGCGGGAGCGTCCGCATGGCACCGCCGCCCCACTTTGGCACACCCCTAACACGGTTCGTGGCCCCATAGGGAGTTCCACCGAAGGCCCTAGCGGGAGCGTCCGCATGGCACCGCTGCCCCATTTCGGCACACCCTTCACACGGGTCGTGGCCCCATAGGGAGCTCCACCGAAGGCCCCAGCGGGAGCGTCCGCATGGCACCACCGCCGTATTTGGCACACCCTCCACACTGTTCGTGGCCCCATAGGGAGCTCCACCGTAGGCCCCAGCGGGAACGTCCGCATGGCATCACCGCTCCATTTCGGCACACCACTCACACGGTTCGTGGCCTCACAGGGAGCTCCACCGAAGGCTTCAGCGGGAGCGTCCGCATGGCACCGCCGCCCCATTTCGGCGCACCCTCAAACGGTTCGTGGCCCCATAGGGAGCTCCACCGAAGGCCCCAGTGGTGGCGTCCGCATGGCACCGCTGCCACATGTCAGCACACCCCTCACACGGTTCGTGGCCCCATAGGGAGCTTTACCGAAGGCCCCAGTGGGGGCGTCCGCATGGCACCGCTGCCCCATTTCGGCGCACCCTTCACACGGTTCGTGGCCCCAGAGGGAACTCCACCGAAGGCCCCAGCGGGAGCGTCCGCATGGCACCGCCGCGTCATTTCGGCACACCCCTCGCACGTTTCGTGGCCCCATAGGGAGCTCCACCGAAGGCCCCAGTGGGAAAGTTTGCAAGGCACCGCCGCCCCACCTTGGCACACGCCTCACACGTTTCCTGGCCCCATAGGGAGCTCCACCGAAGGTCCCAGTGGCGACGTTCGCAGGAGTCCTCCTGACTCATGCCGGCACACCCTTCACACGTTTCGTGGCAGGCGGGTGTACCGCGTGCGCTACTCGGAGTTTGCGCGCCCCCATCTTTCGTCTCATCTCCCTCGCGGCACTCGCAGCTGCATATGGTTGGGTCCTTCGTCAGGCAATTTGAAACGAATGTGCGTCGCGCTCAAGCGAGAACCACATTTTGAAAAGGAGCCACCCTCAATCCGTGAAGCTTTTGTTGCAAATTTCTAAAACGAATGTGCGCCGCGCTAAGGCCAGGGCCTCATTTTGAAAACCACCCGCCCTCAATCCGTGAAGCTCTTGGCAATGTTTAAGACGAATGCGCGCCGCGCTAAGGCGAGAGCCTCATTTTGAAAACCACCCGCCCTCAATCCGTGAAGCTCTTGGCAATGTTTAAGACGAATGTGCACCGCGCTAAGGCGAGAGCCTCATTTTGAAAGCCACCCGCTTCATTATGTGAAGCTCTTGCAAATGTCCAAAACGAATGTGCGCCGCGCTAAGGCTAGAGCCACATGTTGAAAACCATCCGCCCGCCATCTGTGAAACTGTTTGCCAATTTCTAAGCTTCAGAATTAGACATGGCGAGGAAGTCTCCGCAAAATGCCCGGCCCGCCCTGAGAGCTGGCTTCGGGGTGCGACAGGGAGAAGTTACTTATAAGGAAAATGACTGGAGGAGGAGGAGGGTGGAGACTGAGAAGGAGGAGAAGGACGAAGAGGAGGAGGAGGAGGAGGAGGAGGAGGGTGGAGACTGAGCAGGAGGAGAAGGAGGAGGAGGAGGAGGCGCCGGAGGCGCCGGAGCCCGTGGGAGGCGGCTCCTGCGAGAACGCGCGGCCAGCCCGGGCACCCTTCCGCGTCGGGAGCGGCTATCGCAGCGGCGCGGCGTTTCAGGGGGCGAGGGGCTCCGGAGGGTGCAGGTGGGCGCGGCAGAAAAGCGTCGGCGTCACCCTAACATACTTATCAGCATCACCATCATCAGCATCATCCTCCTCCAACTCCTCCTCCTCCTCCTCCTCCGCCTAAGGATCCTCATGCTTATCCTCATCTTCATCCTCATCCTCTTCTTATCACCATCGACATCATCATCATCATCACCACCACCATCATCATCACCATCATTTTCATCATCATCATCATCATCATCATCATCATCATCATCATCATCATCATCATCATCATCATCATCATCATCATCATCATCATCATCATCATCATCATCATCTCGATCACCATCACCATCACAATCACTATCGTCATCATCATCAGCAGCAGCAGTACCAGCACTGTACGTGCGTCGCCCCTTCAGGGGCGACGCGAGCACCGAGAAACCTATAGTTCATGCGTCGTGGCGGGCGCTTTCTGGCCACGCCGCTCGGAGACGATATACTAGAAGATGGGTATACTACATGTTAGGGTCGGACGCGCGTCTCCAATGAAGACATATCGTGTTAGTACGTCTCTGTGCGTCTCAAAGCGGGTTCGTCTGCGCCGGCATTGGCGCGCAATATTCCCGCGTAAGGTGAAGTCGGGCGTGCCTTCTACAGGAGGAGAATTCAAAAACTGTCAAACAATAGTCTGGGGACGATGTTTGGACTACTTTGGAGTATTTTGCGCAGATGTTTTGACATTTGTTTTAGTTTTTGTCCAAAATCCGCCTGTAGGAGGACATGCCCGACCTATGCGTAAGGTCGCGCGTAAGCGCCCTCGCTGCAATGCAGCGTGCCGCGCCGGCAGCCCGCGTGAGCCACCGCGTAAGGTCGCTAATTACGTCATCCTGTTCAAGGCCCGTTCTTTGATCGTCGCTCAGGTGAAAACGCGTGCTGGCTCCAAGACGGCCTGCCGCTGCCCGCAGGAGCAGCGCGTTCAGGGGCAAGGATACGGAGGGGATAGACACAGGGGGGGTTGCATCGACCCCTGACCGCCCATTGATCGCCGACATGGGCACGACAGTCCCAACCTGCCCAGGGACGGGCGGATTCACCATCGGGGGCGTATCGCCGATCCATCGGCGATGTATTGCCGATTCCCGGTCGATGTTTCCCTCCCTATGCCTGTCCCCCCCTATCGTTACCCCTCACGTGCGGCCGGCGGCTCCAACGTGCCGTACCTGTCGTCGCCGTCGTAGCTGCCCAGGAGCGGCGCCTCGGTGGCGCGATGACGGCGGCCACTGCAGGGGAAGATCGAGCAACAACACGCTGGGCACGATTTCTTTGCCCCCCACGAGGATCGGACTGGGAGGTCCGCGTAGGTAGGTGCCGCGTGTGTGCAACGCGATTAGACGGTGCACTCGGCGTCCGTCTCTCCTTTTTTTGCCAGTCGCGTCGCTGGGAGCGGGGAGCGGGGAGCGGGGAGTGGTGGTTTCGATTGCAGGCAGGGGGGTCGGGGCGGAGAGCGCAGCCGAAGGACGGGCAGGCGCTTTGAGGCTAAGACGGGTGGCGGGTACCAGCCGCGTTGGGGTGGGCGTTCGTCGGCGCTCGCGCGACGTGCTGTGTGGCTGGGCCCACCGCAGGGGCGTGCCGGGGGCGCGACGCTGCTCCCTGAACTTTGTGCCCTGCCTGCACCGATCGCCTTCCCTGAGGGCGGTCAGGCTGGTGGCACTGCAGCAGCATCGCCAACGTTCCGTTCGAATTATGTGCACGCTTGGCCTGCAGGTGTGGATTTAATCTGACCGCGATGGGTCAACTAGTGATTGTCCAGATGTGTGTCCCTTCCACTTGCGGCCTTGAGCTCGGGGAAGTGACTGGTGGTTGGAACGGGTATGCTAAGCAGGGTCGCATTTTTTCGGCAATGGGTCCAGCCGTCATTCAAAGTGCCCACACGTGAGGCTGGTTGACACATTGGACCTTTCGGTCAATCTTCGAATCGGTAAGCTTCTTTTTTCAGGCTCATCGCCGTCAAGAGCCCGACCCGATATATAGCTGTTCACCCTGCCGCACCATGTTCGCTCGCGTGCGAACGGCAGAGCCACCGTGTCTCGTGCACGTGGGGGTAGGTGTGTGCGCGCCGACTCCGCTGAAGTCGGCGCGAAGAGGGGCCAATTGCAAAAAGCAAGTGGGGGGCCCTCTGCCAAGAACCACCCCGCTTGCCTCCAGGGTGCCGTGGGCTTCCTGGGGTTCGATGGTCTTGCTACGGAAAGCTCAAGCAGTGGCGAGGCGTCCTGGCTGGCCTATAGCCCCACCAGAGAATGTTCTAAGAACCTTTTGTGGTCTTATGTTCCAAGAACACTGTTTCTGTTATTCGGGCATTCTTGGGTTCGTGGTGGGCCTATAGGAATGCCGGGACGGTCGATCCCTGCTCAATCAAGGGTGCCTTGGGTTGTCTGGGTTGCGGTGGTCCTGCTACGGAGAGCGTGACGCCCCCGCACCACAAATCGATGGGCTCCCCGAGGTCTCGGGGTTGGGCTTCTTGTGTCGGGAGCGGCCAAGAAGAGGGGCGAGGACTGGGGGGGGGGGATATCATGGCGGGGGCCATGAGATCTCCCCAGATTTCATGGTGCCTCGTCTTATTTCAATGCGTCCCCGGCCCCGGGCCCCCCCTTTGGCCGCGTACATGCCGCCAGCCATGATTTGCCCCCCCCCCCCCCCCCACCCACCCCCCTCTTGGACGCCCCCCCTCTTGGCCGCCCCCGATTGTGGAAGGTTTCTTGTGGACTGGCCTCCACTTTATCCGACTTGCGGCTTAGGGCACGGCTGCAGCTCTCTGCGCGGTCTCTCGGTTGTCGCACGCTCCGTGCCGAGTCCCTGGCGGGGGCCGTCTTTCCTTCTCCTTCCCTCCTGCTCCCTCCCCTGCAAGCTCCAGTGCCTCCTCGTTCGTCCTCGTCGTTCCCCTCTTCCTCCTCCTCTTCCACCTTTCCTCCTCCTCCGCTTTCTCCTCCTTCTCCTCCTCTTTCTTTTCCTCCTCCTCCTCCTCCTCCTCCTCTCCCTCCTCTGCCTGGTGCTCCCTTTGGCGCGCCTAACCTCGTCGGACTGGACTGGCCCCATCTACTCGGCATTCTCTGCATGCCTGCGAGCGGCAAGTTTCCCAGGGTCATCAGCGCAGGCCGAATGACCTACATAGCCTTTGCTTCATAGACCCATAGACCGAGAGCCCCCGGCTGAAAAACAGAGCTGCCAGCTTCCCTGCCGAGGAGACAGGAGCCCCGCTATGTTGGACGCTGGCCATGGAAGAGTAGGAAGGTGAAGCAGCAGGGGTATGTGTCTCCGGCCCCTCGTGCATTGCCGTGGAGCCAGTGAGGGCCTGCTGATTTGGTCCGCATTGCGAAGTAGGAAGCCGCGCAGGAAAGGAGGCTGCTCCTTTACTCAGTTACTCCTCTCCTTGCGGCTGAAGAGCAGCGCCTCCTGACATCGGTTTTGCAAAGCGTATTTCGGCACAATGTCAATCTGGGTTGTTCTCCTCGGAGCACTTGCGCGCAATCCCAAGGTCCCAGATCCCAGCACTGGCCGGGGGCGATGGAGGACAGACCCCGGCCCCTTTGGACACCTCGTGTAAGATTTGCCCCCCGTCGTTCTCCCCCCTCTTCGCATCTGGTTGCCCGGAGCGAGTGTGCTGGGGAGGCAATCGGCTTCGACAGCCCTCTCGCGAGATTGTCCATGGGGGGTGAGGAACACGGCGGCTCCCTCAGTTGTTGCCAGTCCGCGTGGGGAAGGGACGGAGGAGGGAAGAGAGGTGAGGAGGCCAAGGAGGAGGAGGAGGACGAGGAGGAGGAGGACGAGGAAGGAGGAGGAGGTCCGTAGCCATTTGGCGCAAGTCCGTAGCATCGGCTCAGGGATTTGAGAATTTGGCAGTGGGGATCTTGCGGCCCCAACCTCGTCCTGGCGGTTCCCGCCAGTGTTTCTCTCACCACGTTCTGTTGATTGTACCCGCCTTTCTCCTGTGCTACGGTTCTTCTGAGATGGTGCCTCATTCTTCCTTCGCTCTCGCGCCTTGGGCTCGCCAGTCGGAGGAACAGGAACTGTGGAAGTACTGGGGTGCAGGAAAGAAGGGCAAGCAGTTCAAAAGTCTTGTGTGCTCAGGTTGTGGATGCAAGAAGAATCAGTTGGGTGCGCAGTGGTGCTATCATTGTCACGCCCCGTTGCCGCAGCTGGCTCCTGCTCGTTCTCCTGTGGCTCAAGATGTCTGGGCTCCTCAGCGCCGTGGACCTCCAGGCTGGTTCACGCTCGGGGGAGGCGGCGCTGGGCGTGGCGGCCAACCTGCGGGTGCAGCTTGCGGCGGCGCAGGTGGCGGCGTGTCCAAGCGCCAGGGCAAGGGCGACATGCAGCCTGCGCTCGCTTGGGCGCCACAGGGCTCAGGAGCTGATGGCGCATCAGGCGCCCCACTTCCTGCAGGTCCTGTCCCCGACATCACTATTGCGGAGGCGCAGGAGCTGGCTCGTCCTTGCGACAAGGCAGGCGACGCCAGATGTGCGCACTGGTACAGCAACGTCGCGAAAGGCCTGGCGCAGCGGAGAATCAGTCCAAGCACGTGCCATCGCCTCATCCAGCGGCTCAGCAGCAGCATGGACAGTCGCGCAAGCTGGAGAAGCAGCTCGAGACGGACTTGGCTCGGTTGTTGTGCCTCCCGAGCGAGCTCTCTGAGCAGGTCGCCAAGGTGCAGAGTACGAAGCTGGATCTCGAGAAGGCCGACAAGGAGTACGAGGAAGCTGTGCTGAAGCTGGCCGAGGATTCCAAGGTCAGCGCTCAGCCTGAGTCGACGCCCACGGTCCGGCTTGAGGATCTCATTTCGGGCAAGGTTGACGTGGCAGCGCTCATCAACTGCGACATCCCGGAGGACCTGGATGCGGAGCTGGAGTTGCCGGCCGAAGAGAAAGCAGAAGTGGCCTCTCGCTCGACGGCCCTCTCTCTGGGCATCGCTGACATGGCGAAGAAGCTCTTCGCGCAGGCTGTCGAGCAGGCCAAGTCGGCGCAGGCTGCGCACGCGGCGCAGAAGGCCAAGCTGGCGGGCAAGAGGCGCAAGCGCAATGATGGAGAGGCTGCTGCAGGTGGTCCCGATCAGAGCGGAGATGCCGGCAGTCCATCCGCTTCACCAGGGTCTGTTTCGGCTTCGTCGGCTTCGCCTGGGGCCTCTGGAGAGGCTGCTGCTGTGGGAGAGGATGTTCGCGCGCGAGTTGCGGCTGCGCTTCAAGCCTCGTCGGCTTCGTCGGGCGATTCCCACCCGCAGCAGCTTGAGGGGGGGTCTCCTAGCATGGGCGGCAGAGATTTGAGTTCTATAGGCCTTTTGTTTGACTTTTTCGCGGTTCCAGCCTCGGCCATAGGCTCGGGGGCCAAGCTCTCGGGAATCTGATTGTTCAAGCGCTTGTTGTCGGAGGTTTCAGGAGCCGCCATCCCCCAATAAACAGTCCTGGCCTGCCCCCCCCCCCCCCCCCCCCCCCTTGAGCCTCCTGAAGTGCCTGCCCGTGTCCTTGAGCCTGAACCCAAAGAGTCCCCCCTTACCGCTCGATGGGTCGAGTTTCAGCTGCGGGTGGCCACCATGAATGCCAACTCTTGGGGGGCGGCTCGCAAGTTTCTGCGGGGGGCCTTAGTTCATGTGGTTCTTGTGCACGAACATCGCTTTCGGGATCCGGATGATATCGTGACCAAGTTACAGACCTACAAATCATTTGGATTTCGGATTATTTGGGCGCCAGGTGTACTAAGAGAAGGAGGAGGTACGAGTTCAGGAGTTTTGTTGGCTGTGCGCGAAGGGCTTGGACCCTTCGCCGCCGAGCATGTGGTATTGGCCGAGGGCAGAGCTGTTGCAGGCTTGCTGCACGTGCCTGGGTGCTCGCCCTTCGCCCTCGCCTCCCTCTACCTGCGCCGCTCCCAGGGGCTCTCGGATTGTAATGTGGGGGTTGTTCGTTGTGCTGGTTGTTTTTTAGAGGAGCAAGGCTGCGATTTCGGTATTTGGGGGGGCTTCAATCTCGGCCCCTGTACCCTGGCCCAGACGAATTCGACAGGGCTTTTTAAGGGGGCGACTGTGTCGGCCCCAAGCCACGCGCACTTCCCTTCGGAACGTGCTCGCCCTGACACGTTTGTTTTTTTGTCTGCTCGGCGGCGCTCGGCCGATGCATGCAGGAGGTCCGCGCTGCCACAGAGTCGGATCACCCCCCTCATGAGCCAGTAGAAATCACCTTTCACACATTCCCGGCCGCGCTTAAGGCCCCCGCCCTCCGCCGCCCCCCTGACCTCCCGCCGCGTCCTCTTGTCGGGCCCCAGCCTTGTCCTGGGGGCTGGTCTTCGGCGCTGGAGCGTTCTAGGGCGGCGTGCCGAGCGGCTCTGGAAGGCAAGTTGGTTGAAGCGCGTGGTCTCATCGCCCCTGGTTACCGTCTGTGGGCCAACCAGGCCGAAAGTGATTTGAGCCGGATTTTCGACGCCCCTCT